TTTTTGAGATCACTTTAATTTTAATTAATTTGGAACATATATATATTTTCTTTTTCACCTGAAATTTGCTTGTAGAGCACTAAACCAAATATCAACTTTTTTATTTCTGAATGGTAACCAAATATCAACTTTGATCATCAATCAAAATTTCATTTTCATTTGGTGTCCAACCGTCTATCATGCTTGGTGTCCAACCGTCTATCATGCTTGAAAACTGACTGGTTAAGTGTATACTGGTGTCAAATGGCTATGCATTTACGAATGGTGTTGGGACAAGTGGACAAGTGGACAAGCTATGGTTAAACATTAGAATACTACTATTTTTTAAGAAAAACCTAAGACAAATCCAAGTGGTGACTTTTTGTGGTATTGTCAGTATGTGCCTTCAAGTTCTCCCATAGCCGTCCCTGTAACAATCTTTTCCCTCCTCAAATTAAGGGCAGCCTATAGTCCCGGCACCACTAAAATCAGTTTTTTTTTTAATTTTTTTTAATTTTATTTTATGTGCTTCTGAATTTAATTAGAGTTTAACTGAGAGTCTAAAAAGTACGGAGACTTTTACGATTTACTAGAGCAATGTATACGTATTGAATAAGTATCCGATGTTAATATTTTTTTATATTTACAAATATGTGTATGATACTTCGTAAGCATATCAATAATTTTAAAATATATTTTTAAATTTTTAACACGTATCTGATACTTCTCAAATATTTCGACTATGTACTCAATACTTTTCGGATAATTCATAACATATTTTTAATAAGTTTTGAATATTAAAATGTAATTTTTTCAATAATAATTACATTAATAAAATTGCTAAGAAAAGTTCAAAATTTCGTAAGTGATAACTAAATATAGATATGCTTGTTTTTATGTACCGTGAAATGAACTCTTATGTTATATTAATGATTACATTTAAATTTATTCTATTACATGAAATTGATTAAAAAAATGTATTTTTTGTATTTAAAAAATGTATTTTTTTTTTGTATTAAAAAAATGTATTTATAATTATTATCTTTTGACGTATCTCGTTGTACCTGTATCTTATTTTAAAATTTGTCGTATCATATCATTTTTGCATTCCGTATCCGTGCTTCCTTAGAGCTCATAGTTCAACTATTCTCTTGCTAGATAGGATTGTAACTCAGGCAAGTTAGAGGTACAACTCAAATCCAACTTGAAATATAAAACGTTTTAACCCTAATTCGACCTTAAATTTTAACTATTCAACTGGAAATCAACTCATCCTTGAATTATTAAACTCGAATTTAGGGTTTGAAAGTCAGGTTAATTCGAGTTGTACATATGGCCAATCTCCATATTAAATATTTAATTAATGTGATCTTGAGCTCGTTTCATATTAGAATACTCTTAAGCACACATTTTTAAAAAAATTAGCAAAATAATTATCCTACAAAAAATGTATACCTTTCCATTTTTTGCTGTCCAAAATACTTGTTTTAATTTAAAATCCAATGTTCTATTTTTTTAATATTTCTAATTTAATATTTTTTTTAATACCATAGAAGGGTGTATTTCATTCTCTACCACTATGATAAAAATAAAAATAAAAACTACACCCCAAAAAAGTTAGATTATAAAAAAGGGTCATTTTCTTGTGAGGAAATGTTGGCTAGTAATATGCAATAAATTAAAATTCAAACGAAGTTCGTTAAAACAAAAAGTGATCATAATTTGAATGATAATATAATTAATATATATATATATATATATATATCAAATTAATATTAAAAATTGATTCGAATTGAGTTCGGATTACCGACACCTTATTTCAATTTTAAATTTAATTAAGCTCGAATTGATATTTTTTAAGTCAAATTCAACCATAATCGGAAAAGTAGATATCCAAATTCGTAAAAATTCAAATTGGACTTGAGCTAGCTTTGAGTTGACCCGCCAAATTGCACCCCTAATGCTAGCTAGCTAGAGGGTTCTTCTTTCTCTCTTCAAATAAGATTAAACAAAAGATCTCGATAAATATGATGTGAAAGTTTGGAGAAGTTAGAAATGTCTTATTCAACTTGACACGAGCAATGTTAATGAGTCAAATCACTCTTTTAGCATAAATCAGAAATATCTCACTCATAATAACTTGCAAGTAATTGAATAGGGGAGTTGCCAATTGATGGAACACCTGTGAGGCTGTGATTGAAATGGCCGACCAACCCATCAATTGTGAGGCTACTAATTATAGGTTACACCATCACTTTACCCCATTAGCAGGGAACTCAAACCGGTGTGTGTTGATTGATACTAAGTACTTCTACCTAAATTACACAATTTTTTTTCGATGAATATCGCTTTCATGTTCCGAACGAATTTTTATTTTTATACTTTGTGCATATTTTGGCTCAAATTTTTACTATTTATAACCTAATTTTGCAATTCTCACGCTCCCGCTCTCGAATTCGCTCTCACCCTCACTCCCACTTTATGTGACTTAGCTTCTACCCATTTTGAAGAGCTTATGGCTTATAATCCGTGTTTTTGTAGTCGTTATCTCTGTGATTTTACCCTAAGTAGTGCTATTTAGCCGATAAATAAAAACCTATCACTTTATCAAGTTTTCGTGGTTATCTATTTGTCAAATATATAATGGAATCTATTTTAAAATATAAGGTAATTAATTATTTAAAAAGTTGTAGTTTATTTTTTAGTATCTTTGTTGACTATAAAAGTTTCAATCACCATGTATATTAAATTATATATATATATATATATATATATATATATATATATATCACATCGAATTTGAATCCCTAACGCATTGATTCTTAAGATTAGATAGATATTTGTTTATTAATATAAATGATCAAAACTAATGATCTACGTGACTCCAGAAACAAAAACAAAGAGAGGAATTTAAAGAAAAATTACAATGCATTGAAAAATTGAAAAATATTGCAGTTTTTGCTCTAGATTTTGTACCAATCAAATTCTTCCATTTGAGTACCATGAAAGACACTATGAAAACGAAAAAGAAAATAATACGTTTGTGGAAAACTGAAAAGGTAAGGAAAAGAGTTATAAAAAACTGAGTAGACATGTTGTACATAATTCTTTTATTTTATAAAGCTTACCTTTTTACCAAAAAAAAAACCCTTTTACCAAAAAAAAAAAAAAAAACTAGATAAAGAAAGGAAAATTGATGTATTTCATGAAAACAAACATGAATAGTAATAATGTTTATTTAAGTTGAAATTTTATAAAAATACGTCATATTTTTACCTAGGTCAGTTTTAAGCTGGAGTATTAAGGTCATCAAAAATATCATTTCCCTGACTCCTCTGCACTATGCAGTTTAATTTCTTCTCTAGTCCTTTAATTATTCTTAAATTTAAAGTAAAAATATATTAAATGTTGACTTATCTGATGGTCCATTATTCTTGAGTTATTTAACATTTTTCAATAATCATAAAAATAGAAATTAATTTTTAAAAAATTATAAAAATTAACAAAATTACCAAATCTTGCAAGCCTGGTTGGGTTGACTAGGGATGGTAACGGGGTGGTTTTGGGCTAGTGTGCCCTCCCTCGCCCACGTCACCGTTTAAAAGTCCCCACCCCATTCTCGCCTAAAACTACTTAAATGGTGTACCTTCCCACCCATCTCTGTCTCGTTTTACTTTTTCACCATGTGGGCATCCGCCCCCGCTCCGTTTACTCCCAAAACTTCTCCTTATTTTTAATTTTTTTTTTTGCCCCTCAAATATAATTATATAACTATTAAAAAAAAATCATAAAAAAGGAAAATCAATTTACAAACATTCTATAATGGCAAAAGGATAATTTAGCGAGTGAATTTGATTTGGGGGTTTCTAGGGCTAACTATAAATACTAATAAAAATAAGGATAATTTAGTAATCTAAGCCCACTGGGTGGGGTGACCTCCCCCGCTCTTGTCTAGCACTTGCGTAGGTTTTTACTTCTAAACTCCATCTCTGTCCAAATAACTTAAACGGTTCCCCAAAATAGACATAAATGGGTGGGGTGGGTCGGGTACCCGCCCTCGCGGGACAAATTGTCATCCCTAGTTGGGACAAGGTTCTACTTTAAGTCACACAAAGCGAGAGCGAATATGGATTAGGAGCGCAAAAGCAACAAAATCTAAAATTTTGTCAGAACGGGAGCACCTCCAAAGCGCTTTGTACACTTGTATTTATTTGTGTATAAAATTAAAAAAAAAACATTTTTTAAGTGTAAATAATCTTATTTCTTTTATACTAACCAATATATAATATTAATATCAATTAAAATACAAAATTATATCATATATATATTTTTTAAGAAATGAGACCTGAAAATTCCTATATTTATTCTAAATTCTTAAAAAGAGATTGTTTAAATTTTCATACATGAAATGATTATTTTAAAGAATTATAAAATAATTAATTAATAAAAGTACAACTAAAAGTATCTATATATTTTGTTTGTAAATATATACATACACACACACACACACACACACACATATATATGTATCTATACAATGTACACACATCTAATATTTTTAGACTTAATAACAAAAAAAAAAAATGAGCAATATATGTTATTGTTTTTTAACAATTTTATTTTTTATATTTCTAACTTTTTATTTAATTTACTATAAAGTACATTTGGTTATTGTTATCAATAATAAGTTTCACATGTAGTTTTTCACAATTTCACAATTTAATGAATAAGAAATCGTTATTGAATTCATTAATTGAAAAAAATAAGTTCTCAAATATAGAAAAATTTATTCTTAGAGCACCGATTTCCACACGGAATACAAAAGCAACACCACTTTAAAAGTATTGTGTAACTTAGTATTAGAGACAGGGTATCTTAGACATTTTCAAGTAACAATTTTAGCTAGACTGTCAATCAAATATATATATATATGCTTTGAAGATATATTTTATCTTACAATCTGCAACAAAATATTTTTGGAGTACAAAAAAAAAATGGAAGAATATAGTAAATATATACAATTATTCACAAGAAACAGAGTGATACAGAGATTATTAACATGAAAACATATATTGTACATGGTAACGTACCCGTTACATTATTCTTCTGTATCTATATACCTCCTCTCTTATGCACACTATAAGTGAAAGAATAAGCAAGAACCAGCTGAGCTCCAATTCTAACCTACACCCAAAAGCTACAAGCTTGGTCCTTCAAAACCTCTCACAGACAATCAACCAAAAAAAAAAAAAAAAAAAAAGGAAGGAAAATCACATACCCAACAAATGGGGTTCTACTGTAAGCATATAGGAGACTTCCGGGGACGAACTGAAACAATCCCACTGGCAAATCTCCGACTTAATTATCCGAAAACAATCGACTAACAAGACGATTGAATTAGGCCTGTTTTGCTAAATCTCTCTCTGTTATGAATGTGCCATGAAAACCATATGGAACTCTAGACGGAAGCTGAATCGAAGCTTCTAACTGCATAGTCATGGCGTTTAGAATGTGGAGCTCCGATTTCCATGTCTTCTCGTCGTGCACGAAAGCAATGACAAATCCGTCATCTTCAGCTTCCGAGTTGGAGCCTGTAGGAAGAAACAGAGGCTCACCACCGTGCCTCTGTTCGCCGTAAATGTACTTCTTTACTTCTCCGGTGAAGAGGTCGACTTTTGCAAAGCCAGAAACTTTAGGCCAAGGCTCGGCAATGGCGAGGTAAGCGAACTGGGTTTTCCTGCCAAGCTTGTTCCGATTCACCATTCCTGCTTCTAAGTTAATTTGATCATCCGAATTGGTTATAATTGGTCGGCGTGTGGACTTACCGGTCTTCAAATTGAGTCTAATTTCGGACAAAATGCTCTGCAACCCCTCATCGCATTCGTTGAAAATGGAGTCCGGCGGAGTCATACACGACCCGATCACGACGACCTCGTCGGTCTCTGGCTCCTCCCAAGCATTCCAGAGATGGAAGCAAAAGCAATCAGGCGATTCGATCCATTTGATTTCACTAGCATCACTAGCATTCTTGTCAAGAACTCCGAATCGGGACATCTTGTTCTTGTCATACACCACCGGAGAGCCACCGCGGACCATTTCCGGCAGCTTGAACACCACCTGCTGATCTGGGATTACTACGAATTTCTCTGTTATTGCGAAATCATGCGTCATAGTTGGCTGTTCCAGGGGTATTTCGATGTCCGGTGACTTGTCACCGGACTTGGAAAACTTGAAGTACTTGAGGTATGGCTTTTGGATGACGTCGTAGCTGAGAGCGAAGAGCTCGCCGGAAACTGGGTCGAGCTTGGGGTGAGCGATCATGGTGGAATTGAGCTGATCATCGAAGTTGTATCTGCCCACTGTTTCGAGGTCGCCGGAGGGGGTGACTCGGACTTGGTACGGTAAGTCGTCCTCCGACATGGCGAGGAGGCGGCCGTTGAAGTAAACTAGGCCCGCGTTGGCAACGCCGGTGCCGTGGTGGTGATCGACGAGGCCGAACAATCCCCTAGCATAGAAGAGCATAAGCCGAGCTATGCCGGAGTGGCCGTGGAGCTCTCCAATGGCTTTGGGGAAAATTGGGCGGCCTAGAGCTCGTTCCTGGACGAGTCTCTGCGTCTCGGTGAACCGGCAAGCGTAGCTAGCCGAGCCGTTTTCGAATTTGACGGCGTGGACCATACCATCGCCGTCAAAGAAGTGGTGGCCGGCGACCGGTTCAAATAGCGGATTAGCCCCGTTTCGGACGTAGACGCCTTTAACACTTTCGGGTATTTTTCCGGTAAGCGGAAGTGAGTGCTGGACGGGCTGTTCAGTGACGGGAGCAAAATTACCTGCAATTTGAACTCCGGGATCGGCTGTTTTTGGCAGAGGATGGTGGCGCTCGCGTGCTACCATGGCGCTCTCCACGGCATCCAGGGCCATGGCTGCAGCTTTCTGTAGAAAATTCCACTGTGGAGTGGACTTAGCAATGGCTCTCTCTACCGAAAATGAAGGTGAAGTAGAGGACGAGTTTTGATCTTTTGGGCATATAGTTGTAGTGTCAGTGACAACACTAGTACCAGGTGTTTGATATTTTGAAGACTGTTTGGGAAAGTGGAGGGAAGGAGTTTGGAGAGAGCAATTTATGGTGTGAGGTTTATTAGGTTTGTTTAAAGAGATAGAGATTGGGTTGTTAGACCCCAATTTCAACTCTCTTGATGAAGAGAGGAATTTGGGCTTAACCCATGTATTTGTACTTGTAGCAGAAGACATGTCTTTGCAGTCTCTATTTTGGTTGACTAGACTCTCTCTTAATGGGTACGTAGTAATTATGTATGTTTCTTCGAACAAAGGGTTAAGGGGTCTAAGGGGGTCTAGAGAGAGAAAGTGGTGAATGATAGAGAGAGAAAGTGTGTGCAATGAGTGACGAGTGAGGTGAGGGCGAGGTTTATATAGAGTGAGAAGTGGGCTATGCCACCTCAGACATGTATGAGAATACCACGTGTTAGATGCATAGAAAGGGGACCGAAGGGAATTGAACAACACCAATGGGGCATAGCCGCTTCAAACTTTGACACGACAACCACCTCACCCCCCTCCCTAACCAATATAATATAAAAATACAATATATGTATTGATTTGATATAGTATATTATTTTATTTATATATGTAACAATTTTTGGATGACATTAACATGTTATTGGGTCTTGATACTATTTATTTAAATTGAAGAAGGAGAATGCTAGTGTTGTTAATTGTTATTGGCCCATTACATGAAAACTGTATTACAAAGGTTTTAGTTGGGTGAGTTTGGTATTACACGTCTATATAATTGTGTTGATTTTGTAAAAAAATTCTAGGTTACTATTTTTGGAGAGACACGTGCGTTTAAGTTTGGCTCGTTGAATATGACATTAACATTTTATTTTATTAAAAAGGAAAATGCTGGTGTTGTTATTGGGCCATTACGCACAAACTTTTGGGGATTTGGGGGTTTGTTGTCATTACCTTATTGGTTCATTTTAGACGTCTTTTTATCCCGCCTTCTCCCCTCTAGACACATTACACGTGGTATTAGTTTAGTCCCCTTGCTTAACCTAAAATCTAAGTCACACCAAAGGCCCCCACACGCTTGCGACCTAAATATAAACGTGGACTTGTACCAGTACATGAAGAAATATATACATATATCAATATATATATCTTCTTTGAGCATTTTGACAATGAAAAACTGCAGTTTATAGGACTCGTTTGGACGGTTAGAAGGTCAAATTGAGAAAATGACATGATTTTTCAGATTAGTTTTGATAAGTTTGTGTTTGGCTCGAAAAGACTCCCATCGGATTGGAGACACTCAAAACAGCACAACTCAAGAGCTTCGCTGCTTATGTAAAGTTGTTCTTTAACCGAATTCCATTGTTTAGGACCTTGGAATTGAATTTTTTCAAGTTTGATTATTTTGAGATTTCTATTAGAAGTTTAAATGGATTCAAATTACTCTGATTTTTCCTAAATTTTAGAGAAATTTGAATCTTGAAACATTGCTCATGTTGTTAGGGTTTTACATGTTTTGATTGATTTGTATATATACGTGTACTGCATAGAACAAAATTGTCACATTGATTAATAACGTAGCAGAGTTCTGTTTTTCCATATTTTGTGGATTTAACATGTTTATCGTTATTCAGTGAACTTTGGCTTCAACAAAAATAACAGTCAAAATGAAATGAAGGGAAAAAAAAAAAAAAAAAAACTAAATTAGAATGGTGAGTTGTACTTCTACCCAGAGATTAATGTTCGAACAAAAATGGGCAAAGTAAGACGACATATATTGAATTAAGGAATGAACGTATGCTGTTTTGGCTGGTAGTAGATTAGCATATGCATGTGATCATGTTAAGAAACTATATATTGCAGAAATCCATAAATAAATCGCTTACTCCATAATAGGGGGCAAGTGATGGTTACTGCCCTAATTATCTGCATCAATCATCTGTTTATGTGATCATTATCATTTCTTATATAAACACACACACATATTAATAAAACTATAAACATATAAAAACGATTTTCTCTCTCTCCAAGAAAATAATAATCACTTTTATTATTCTTAATATCATTATTGTTATTATTTCATTTCATATCGATCAATGGTAGGTAGAGATTCTCTGTTTTCCGCGGCAAGGACCAGCAGCACTTGTTTACTGTTAATGAGTTTCTTTAACTGCAAATCAAATGCTAACTACCATATCCACTTTTCATATTTTTTTATGCTATTAGACTATTAGTTAAATGTTTTAGAATTGGGTTTTAGTCCCCCTAGTGTCATGGATGACTCTAATCTACAAATAAAGGTGGAATATTATTATTATTTTTTTTGTTCGTTAATAAAAAAATAGAATTATAACTTATAGATATGATCTTTTTGCACATATACCTCTCAGATCACATCTTTTTTTTAAAAAATAGAACATTCTTGACCTGCCTACGTGTCCCTTCATGATGAGGATGCACTCGGTGACCTGATCTCTACTAGGTATTATTATGTAATCTTTTAGTGATCAAAATTTCAGTTTTATTATAGACTTGCAAGGAAGTTGAAATATTGGACTATGAAATCTGTTCTACCATTTGTATTGGAAGTCGCTTTTTCATTCGACGCATTGAAGCCACTTCAGTATATTAAATAGAGGAGCAACTTCAATGAATCGAATGGAAAAGTAGCTTCGACTTTTCCGTTCGGAAGCTGCACTATAAGTAAGAATAATGATAAAGCAGCTGAACATATGAGCTAATTCAAGAATGAGCCAAAAAAGAGACTTCTGCTAGTTTTACATATTTATTATTTATTGATAGTTTAATTGATAATTTTATAATTTGTAATATAATTTTTTTTTCATTTTTAGATGAAAATTCCGATATTGTAATGTGTTAAAAACATATTTAGTATCCTTTTTTAGTATGAATCTCAACATGAATAGAAGATTAATGCAAATTATCGCACTAGTAGATCCCGTGTTAATTAATTAAGTGTCCATTATCATGTGTATGGTAAAATCATAAATTAAGGATGGTGGTGGAAACGCTGAGGTTTTTAGTAAAATGCACTTTTTAAGCAATCGATATCAAATAAAAAGACTTATATTATTAATTAAGATTTAATCAGTTCATGCTTAAGCTAGATGAGTAGATGGTATGGAATTTCGATGTCTCCCTTGGTCATGAAAGCATATTTCCAACAAAAAATCAAAGATTCCCTTTGCCAACCAACTTACCTGAAAAAACTACCAACTGCAAGACACAGCAACCGAAAATCTAACTGTATTAATTTGTAACAGTAATACTGTAATAGTGTTGTGTGTGTGTGTATATATATATATATAGAAAAGATGGAAGATTCGAGAAAACAATTAATGGGTGCCCATTCTTAGAGTAGTGTTTGTAAAGGGTCAATCTCATGACAAAGTAGGGTAGGCTCCTAGGGAAGAGATAAACGGATAGATGGATAGATACATTGACAGAATATATGTATCGATACACACACATTACACATACATGTGTAGGAGAGAGTGTGTGTGTTGATATGGCTTTATCATGGCCCATTAATTTGTAAAAATTATGTAGCAAGGCACATGGAGGCATAAATAAGATCAACAAATATGAGGTGATTGGATATTTGAACAAAAAGTGGGGTCTCTGGCCTCGTTACAAGAATCTGAAAACAGTTGAATGAATACAAAATCAAAATTAAGTACAGAATTCATAATACAATGGTATGTTTGGACGTAATGAATTTATAATTGAACTTTTAGTTTAAAATTTTAACTAATTTTTTTTTTCTGATTTCAATTTTAAGGCGCTGTAATTGTGCTCCAAATGCAACATTCAATTACAAATTTTCTAAGTAATGCATGTGTATATATATTATTTTTATATCCTCACAACAGTATGTATGAAGAGAAAGAGAATAATTGGTCCAGTAATACATGCGTGCATGTGAAATTGATATATATATATATTTGGTTTAAATCTTCACAGCCATGTGACTCTCCACATTATTGGGGAATGGGGATCAGATAGGAGAATGAAGGGAAGAAATGTTCAATTGTTCATGGTGAATTAAGAGTTGGTCGGGCCCGGTGGGCCAAGATGAGGGGTCTTCTTCATGTCAGTTTCTTGTCTGGGGGCCCACATCATTTTCTAAACCCACACATGTTGGGCTTCAACTGTTCAGTTGACCGAGTAGTGTTGCCACTTGCTCATAGCCCTGTGGCCTTGCTTGGCTATTTTGAAGATTAAAGAAGGGAGGATTACATTTACACTCCTCTATTTGAAAAATGCAAAATGCAATTTTTTAATAAATAAATATAAAATCATCCTAAAACTTATTCATTTAAAAGTTGAGTATAGTGGAATGCGAATATACTATAAAAGGAACGTGACTATTAACTAGTAGGGATCATTTTGAAATAATTATAGAGTGCGTATAATAATTTTGATAAATTTTACCCACCCAAATACATTTTTAATCTTATACAGGCAATTCAAAAAGCCTGTTGTTTCTTTGTTTCTTTATTAAAGTCGTCTTTTATTAAAAGCTTTTTTTAATTATTTGAATATCTAACCTGAGAAGCTCAAGTCCCTGAGAGACCTCCATAATATAAAAATACAAAAATAAAGCATGAATATTTTCCGGGATAAGAAAATGAAAAACTATAAAATTTCCCAAAGAGCTTATTTGTCACTAAAGCTTTGGTCTAATTTAATAATTATAGATCAATTTCACAACATTATTGGAAACTTTAATAATTGGTGTAGAAAATATCGCGCTGATGCCACTTTAATCAGGAAAGGACACTTGGTTGGAGCTGCTTGTGACACCTGTACTTCATTGTGGAGTGACATTGGTCACATCCTTAATCTAGACAAACTAATTAAACGCACTTTTCTTATTTTTGGAATTGAATGGGACAAAACACTTGAACATGCCATTATTTATGATTTAAAAAGAGAATGACAAGGGCAGCAGCTCGTCCATGGTGCCCTACCCCATAGCATTCATTAATCATTCAAATTTGACATGAGATGAGGCATGAGTCTACCTCCATCTACATTCACACCTACTTTTTCTCTCCTTTTTCTTCTTATTGTATTTTATTTTATTTTATTTTGTTACGTGTTGAAATTTTTTTTACAATTTAAAAATATATTCTTATTCAATATCATACAATTTAAGCAAATTTTGTACTCAGTGTTGAGACAATAGTAAAAAATTTTGTTTTAAATTATTTTAGTTCCTAAAACACTACATGTTTTATGAAAACGATAGGTTAATGAGTTTGATCATTCCAAGTAAAATCGATATTAATTATAATATATAAATTAATGTTAAGCCTTCAATTATAAATTTTGGTATCAATTAGGAAATGCGTGTGGATAATTAAG